CCCCAGGTAGAGTGGTATATTTGTTACAATTGATGAATTAACATGGACAAATGATTACATTAGGGTTCATTCTTGGTGTACATTCAGTAGGTTTTTACAAATTTTAAATTATGTGAACCCACCTTCTAATAGAATACAGTCATTTCACTACCCTAAACATCATCTGTGCAAGGCCTATTCCTACCTCTCTGCTAACCGGGTAAACATTGATCTTTTTACTGTCTCAATAGTCTTGCATATTTTAGATGTCATGTATTTGGAATCACCATATGTAGACTTTTCAGGCTGGCTTTGTTTTACTCAGTAATATGTACTTATGTTTGTTTTGTTTATTCATGGCTTAATAGCTCATGTCTTTGTATCACTGAATAATATTCCATTATTATGTGCCACAATTTATCCATTCACCTACTGTAGGCATCTTGATTGTTTCCAACTTATGAATAAAGCTGTTAGAAATGTAACAGTTTGTGGGGCCTCGGGTGTGGCTGAGTGGTAGAGCACCTGCCTAGGCCATATGAGGCACTGGGTTCCATCCTCAGCACCACATATAAATAAATAAAATAAAGGTATTGTATCCATCAACAACTAAAAATATATTTTAAAAATGTGCAGCTTTTTGTGTGAGCATATATTTTTTTTAAATTCAATGCTATGTATCTTTTTTTTTAAGAGAGAGAATTTTTAAATATTTATTTATTTTTTTTAGTTTTCGGCGGACACAACATCTTTGTTTGTATGTGGTGCTGAGGATCGAACCCGGGCCGCACACATGCCAGGCAAGCGCGCTACCGCTTGAGCCACAATCCCAGCCCGTGTGAGCATATTTTCAACTCATTTGGATAAATACCAAGGAGTTCGATTGCTGGATCATGTGTTAAGAGTACATTTAGTTTTGTAAGAAACTGCCAAAGAGTCTTCTAAAGTGGCTGTACCATTTTTTTTACACTAGCAATGAATGAGAGTATTTCTGTCAGCATTTAGTGTTGTCAGTGTTTTGGATTTTAGTCGATCTGATAGGAATGTTGTGGTCTTATTGTTTTCGCATATTCTTTCTCTTTGAATTAGAGTCTGCTAAGATTATATTACCCTAGGGTAATATGTCTCTTGTCATTTGGAAGAGCCTTAGATAATAAGGCAAATACTGTTATAACATAGCTTAGAGTCGGTAAAACATGGTCAAGTCCCTCTATCCATTTAACTCTGTAAATAATACCAACTCTCTATAATTTGTTTATATTGATTAGTAAATTTGCTTTCTTATTTAAAGTACTTGAGAAGGTTTCTGATGCTTGCCACCACCATACAGGTAGCTTCTTTTTTTAAATATTTATTTTTTAGTTGTAGTTGGACACAATATTTTATTTATTTTTATGTGGTGCTGAGGATCAAACCCAGGGCCTGGTACATGCTAGGCGAGCACTCTACCACTGAGCCACAACCCCAGCCCATACAGGTAGTTTTTTATTCTGAGGACTGAGTACAAGCTCTGGAGCCAGCCTGCCACTTTCCAGCTGTGCAATCACAGGAAATTAGTATGTGTTTTCAGTTTTCTCATTCATAAAATTGGTGTAATACCTCTTAGGATGTCAGATACAGATTGGGACTTATGAAGATACCTTATAGAAGCTGCAGCATTTGGTCAAAGGAAGTACCAGCCTACCAGGATCTACAGGAAAGAAAGTTAGGGAATCAGCATTCCTCTTTTATTCTTTTTCCTCTGGGATCTACTGCTGATGCCCTGTATTAGCCAAATCTACTGGAAGCCAGAGGAACAAAGGAGTCTTTTGACATGGTTAGCATAGCAATTTCCTTGGGCACAAAGCAGACTTCAGAAGTATGGAGGTGAATCTGGAAAGACAAAGGGAGATCTCCACCACAGCACTTTCTTCAATGTGCCAGGTATCTCTCTTGTTCATCCTCCACACAGAGGAAAAAACAAAACAACCCCTACTATTTAGCAAGGGTCAATAAGGGATAGAAGGTATGTGCAGTTGGACAGAGGATCTTAGGATCTCCTTAAGTGGAATCCAACAAATTAATTCAACTACTCCCTTTCACCCTTAGGGATGTATCTAGTACCAACTCTTATGTAGTGTAAGTTCAATTAATTTTTGCCTGTTTCTCATGACTCACAATGATGCACTTAGTTACTGCATTATTTAAACTAATTACCCACTTACTTACCACCTTCCAAATTGTCATTGCTTTTGTTTTGTTGCTTTTTTTGTTTTTAATTGCTTTCCTATTCTGTCAGTACCTGTGGGTTACAGTTACTATAGCTGGATAGGGATTACCAGAAAACTCAGTGGCATAAAGCAGCCATTTGATGTGCTCACGGATTCCATGAAAGGCATAGCAGGGTTCCATAGCTGAGGAAACTCAGAAGAACTGGAAGCTGGCAAAGTGTGTGGGGGTGTCTGTGGGTAACTCTATTTATGCTTTTCCTCATGGTCGTTCCAGTATGGTGGCTTTAGGGTAGCAAGACTTCCTATATGCCAGCTCAGGCTCCCAAAGTGCATGTCCCAGGAGAAAGCCAGGGAGAAGCTTTTTTGCCATCTTAAACTTGGCCTTGGAAGCTTCCTGGAGTCATTTCCGCCACTTGACTCACTGGATGCAATTCAATGCATTTGGCCTATCTTCATAGGAAGAATAATTAGACTCTACTTTTTGTGGCAATAGTGTAAAAGAAATTGCAGGCACCATTTTTTTTTTTTTTTTTTTTTTCGAAGTCTCCAACTGATTTCTTGTATTCTTTGAGTGTCTCACAGACATTTCTACCCATCCCATTCCTCATTCTATTTTAGGGTATAATACCACAATTGACCCACTTGCTCAAGCTGGGAATTAGGTGTCAAACTTGGTTCCTTCCAGTAAGTTTTGATAATTCTATATCTAAATATATCTTGAATCCAGGTAGGCTGGTACATTTTACTTAGTCTTCTTTCAAATACTGTCCCACACAATATACTTCAACAGTGAAAGAATAACCTATCTATGTTGCCTTGGTATTAATTGAAAAACCTGGTGAAAACATTATGTTTGAACATATCTTCTGGACTCTGAACATGTTTGCAATTGGCTAAAATTATGACAGTTCTTTTTGGCAAATGGAATAATTATTTGACCTAAATGTCCTTCAAGGACTTTGGCAAAACATGGTAAGGTTTTCAAATAATTATCATTTAGTAAACCTTTTTTTGTGTGTGTGTGTTTGCTAAGTACTTTGTCTTGTTTTATTCTAATATGGAGAAGCCAAGATAAATAGGTAGCTTTTCAAACATTTTTTTTTTTTGCATTTTTTTTTTTTTTACATTTAATGGGGCTAGGAAGAAAATTATTTTCTGTTAATTAAAATTATATAATAGTTTTTGGTGAAGAAATTTTTTTCTTAACCATCATGAGCTCTAAGTTGGGATGGCTCTCTGTAACAAAAGACATTAACAATAAAAAAGTTTTTAATGTGTGCAGTGCATGTTATGCAGGAGATACTTCAATGTAAAGTAACCCAAGTAGTGCTTAGCATTCTAAATCAGGATCTTCAACAAAGAACAAATACAATTCTTTGCCAGTATCTGGGAAATGACAGGACAAAGGAAAGTGATTTTAGGTTTCCAAAGAGGGAAACTCTCAGAAGGTAAATATAAAGGAGGAAACAATGGAGTAAGGTTTGTTTATAGAGTCCTCTGGTGCTACCTGTTCTCTAAGACTAGAGTTCTCTTCTGTGAAGTTGAATTTATAGCCTACCTTTAGACAAAAAAGCAAGAGGAGAGGGAGAAATCTTACTGTGTCTCCTTTCGGTCAAAAATATTTTTTATGCCAGAGGCATATTTTGGGGTGACACATTCTGATTGCCTTCAGAGTAAAAGATGCACAGATTTCCACTCATCATAGTCAATGTTCTTTATTTCATTATTGTTGTTCCTTCATGGGTTTCTCCTTAACAAGTGTCTGAACTTACAACTCATTGACAGTTATAAATTTAGATGATAAATCACACATTCCCCCTAAATACCATGACAACATGCCTTTCCTGGTGGCAGCATTTCAGATGACTAGCTAGGTTTATAACAATAAACTGTGCAACTTTCTAATTAAGGGCTTTGTCTTCTGTTGAAAATCAGCTAATTTTACATTTCTCCAATTAAGTAACATTTCAAATCCTTGATACCTTCCTCAGGAAGCCACAAAACTGGTTGTTTCTTAATCTGGCTCTGCTCATTCCAACTCTTCAAAGTAATCAGTATAATCCCCAACATGGAGCTGCTCCCAATTAATCTGCTAAGGTGTCTTAATGTGGCAGAATGATGGTTTGATCCGTTTGATTCCACAGCCTTTTTTCTTTTCACTACTTGACAATACCATAAAAAGATGATAGGTAATTCTATGCTCTCATCTAGGGGAAAAATGTATAACTCAAACTAAATGAAGTTAAAATAACTGTATTTTGAACATTTTATTACAAGGGGTAACTATGAGGAGCATTAAATCTAAGTAGTCATTACTAAAACAAGCTCAGTAAAACCTCTAGCCCGTGAATTCAATTAGAAAGAAATATTATAATGGTATATCTTTCACTCTGTTTTAAACTTGTGTCTTTGTCAACTATATTACAACAGGGCAAACAGTAAAGCCAATGTGCAAAAAGAAAACGGTGTTTAAAAGATTATTAGCAGAAGACTTATGCTTCATTTATATTTGACCTTTGTTCTTCTAGGTGTTAAGTATGCTGAAAACCTCAATGAATTTAAGATATGACTGAGCTGAATGCTCACAGTGTGTGTTGATGCTGACAGATAATTTACTTTTATAATTATATCTATTAGGCAAAATTAAATTGTATTACTATTTTAAATTGTTTACAGTATATCACACCTAACTTTTCCAGTAGTATTAAAAAAAATAAATAAATATCCTAAAGGCAAGCACCAAAAGCAGTCAAGGCAATAAAACTGTATCATTAGTAACTTGTAAACTAAAACTCTAGTCCTTTTTTTTAGTCCTTGTTTCCCAAAAGAGTTACACTAATGAGCGAAGAAATTTTCCAGCTACATTTTCGAGGTTACAAATGATGCCTTAAATGATTGCCCATGAGACCACAGGGTTGTTTTTGTTTTTCCATACCGGGGATTGAACCCAGAGGCACTTTACCACTGATCCACATCCCTACCCTTTTTATTTTCTTATTTTGAGACAGGGTCTCATTAAGTTGCTGAGGCTGGCCTGCAACTTGCGATCCTCCAACCTCATACCCCTAAGTCGCTAGAACATGGGCAAGTAAATTGCATTCAAATGAAACCATACCTTTTTTGTTGTTACCACATTGAATGGTGGACTACAATCAACACATAAAGAAAAAAATCAAGCTTGTGGCTAACTATCTCTATGTATTATAGTGGTAGTGCCATTCTAATTTTATTGATGCTTTACTTTTCATAAAGTGCAGAAAATAAATAAATAAAGTTTAAAAAGATTTGAAGATTTATATACAGTTCTCAAGTTGAGATATTACTAATTACATTTCTTATATCTTTTTAACTCTGTGAAAGCTGTCACATACATTAAAAGCTCATCAACCCAGGTAGAATAATTATTTTGATCCCTCTTTTATCAGTTTAGTATTAAGGAGTATATAATTATGAAGCTTATTCTATAATACAAGTTTAAATAAAAGAAATATTTACGTGCTATAAACTAAATCCAGATACAGTCAGATGCTGAGCGTTGTTCCTGGCTTCAAAATAGGAAGTATCTGTTTCATTATCTGGTTGAGGTATGAAAGGCATAGTTTGATGCTGCAGATTTTCCCAGTCTACATCAGTGAAGAGAGGATGACGTTTCAGTTCTTAGGAAAAATATGAAACAAAACAATATTATGACACAATTACCTAAGTAAGTACTCCCTTTCGGAATTAAAAAGGGGATGACTAACATGTATCTTGCCTGAACTTACAATGCCAATTCTACAAATGTCTGTCTCCCTGTTAAGGTCAAATACCATTTGATTTTGTCTATTACTTGGCATATAATAGGTTCCTGGTTTAGATTTGCCAAATGAGCAAATGAAGCATTTTTCTTGCTGCCTGCATCTTCTTACACAATCCCTGACCTGAGAGAAAGAGAGTTTGGCCTACTTCTGGCTCCCTAATACAACTTCCATAATGCTGACATCACATGATTAATGCTTCAGTTCTCATTACAAGGCCTAACCACTTATTTATATCACTAAAATCTTTAGCACTATCTATTGCCCCAGATAACTTGAGCATGAAGCTTATCCTTTACTCCCTTGCTTTCTTCCCTGTGCTCCATCCTTCTTCATGGTGATTTTAACATATACATTGATGATACCTTATTCATCCTTCCTATTTCTTTCTGCCTACTAAAATAAAAGTATGTTCATTTATTTGACCACATGGTGATATTTAGTTGGTAGAAATAACCCTCCCTTTTCTTAACTCTTCTTTTTTGTGTATGTGTCATTGCTGTGGATTGAACTGGGGTCCTTGCACACATTAGGCAAGCTCTCTACCACTAGGCTACATTCCTAGCCTGAACCTTTCAATCCTTAAACCAACAATAGAGATGTTAACAAACAAGAAATTAAGGCAGTAAGTTGTTAAACCAACACAAAAAGTAACCCAACTTAAGTAAAATATTGGAAGAGGACTACATAGATAGGAAAGAATTATGGGTCTGTATTGGGGGTAAGGAGTTGGGAGATTAATGTCTACCAGTTGATTTTTCCCTATACTAAAAGACTAATAGGAAAAGGAATAAAATAGCAACAATAGTTTACATACAAAGAATTTGTCTCTTAATGTTCAAAATAACTGAGCATGGATAACTTATCAGAATGGTGGTTCTGGGGTGATTTTACCCTTAAAGGACATTTGGCAATGTTTGGAGACATTTTTGGTGGACACAAATGTGGGAGCATCTACCAAGTAGAGGCCAGGGATTCTGTTAAATATTCTACAGTCAACAGGACAGGCCCCACAATTATCTGGATAAAGCAGAGAAACTCTTCTTCAGAAAATCATATAAGTTGCTAAAAATAAGTGGGGATAAAAGAAAAATGTTCTTACTAATGACACCACAGATATTTGTTTCTTCAACAAACAATTTACAGAGTGAAGCGGAGGATGGGTATTCTTCAGTTTAAAAAAGTTACTTCAGGGCTGGGGTTGTGGCTTAGAGGTAGAGTGCTTGCCTAGCATGCATGAGACACTGGGTTCGATCCTCAGCACCCCATAAAAAAAAATAAAGATATTGTGTCCATCTATAACTAAAAAATATTCTTTTAAAAAAAGTTACTTCAACCCTTAAACTAAATTAGAATTCCTTTGTGAATTAAGTTTAAATGAAAATGAGTAGTTATGATGAAAGGATCACAAAGCTTCCCACTATATCCAGATATCAGAGAATAAGAGTTACTACTATCAATTTTCTGCTTCATTAAATGTATCTTCTAGCAAAATATTTGAAAATCATTCCAATGCACCATATCATAGCCCATTAGAATATCACAATAGACTGAAACTGTAATTTCCATGGGTGTGACAAGAAAGAATATTGAATTTTAGATAAATTCATCTTAATATTCTTTCTCCTTGAAGTTGGCAATTATTTTGGCCTTGAATGTGCTCCATGCTGATGTAATACTTTCTGCACCACTAGTGTAACAAGGTAGATGATTGTTTAGAGTCCTAGTAGTAATAAAGTCTTCACTCAGCTTGAGACTGATTAACACATAACCATAAGGCAATGCATATAATATGTTATCAATAAGAGTTAGGGTCTTAGTTTTTTTTTTTTTTTTTTCAAAGTTATCTGCTGCCACCTGAATGATACCATGCTTTATAATAGCAATCTGACCAATATGTTGTGTTAAGATACCCACATCTATTCTGAAGTAACACTGTGAGGATCTGATGTGTCCAAACCCAATGTACACTGCTGGAATTGAAATTTGTGGGTGTTGAGGTATTTCAAGCAACATAAATGAAGTCCTAGGCTTCTTCAGAAAGCTAAAGCTGAGTTTTCAAATGACCACTCTTTCACTTCTTACAGGTTTCTGATCAAAACTCATTCTTCATAGAGGTATTCCCAATCACCATATCTAAAAACATCTCTTGCCATCACTTTGTATCCTCTCACTTTGCTTTAGTTTTCTTCCTAGTACTCACCCATGCATCATGTTATGTTATGGCTGTTTGCCTACAACCTGTCTTTCTACTAGAATGTGAGTTCCATAAAGAAAGGGACTTCAGTCTAGTTCATCCTTAGTATAGCCCTGGGCTTGAAGTCATGAAGTCACTTGATAGGTTCAATTAAATCAATAAACACACTTTTTGTGTGTGTGTGTGTGTGTGTGTGTGTGTATTTTTTTTTTTTTCTCCTTCCCTAACACTAGGGACCAAACCCAGGGGTGTTCTACACTGAGCTATATCCTCAACCTTTCTTATTCTGAGACAGGGTCTTGCTAAATTATCCAGGCTGTCATCAAACTGCGATCCTCCTGCCTCAGCCTCCAGAGTAGATGAAATTCATACTGTTGATCTTAAGAGAGGGAACACTTAGAAGCTGATGCAAATGACATTATTTCTAAAGCCTGATTTCCTAAATATACCTTAATTCATATCAAAATGTATTTGGGACATAATATTTATATGTCTCTATATTACCATAAAGATATGGTAATACCTTATCACAAAGAGGATTTATTTTTAGGTACTTAGGTAGAACCTAGGGCTTTGTGCATGAGCTCTCCCATTCCCAGCCCTACAAAATTACTTTAAGGCTGCTGTTGATGAGATTTACTAGAATTTTAAAATTACTTAATATACTCCTTCAGTGAGAAAACCATTGAATGGTTCTTAATGTACTAAATTTGTCTGGAATCTGATAAATTTGCTAATGAGAAATGTTATTAGAAGTTAAGCAGTTAAGAAATGATAAAACAGGAAGTTTTCATGAAACAAATTTCCTGTATTTGTTGATGGTTAACTTTTATCAGGGTGTGATACCAACATATAAGACTGCTTCAGGTACCTCCGTGGGAATAACAAAATTCAGTGTATGAATATTTTATCTTGACTGTACTTAATTTTAATGGAGTATGACAAATATATTAATGTATATACCTAGAGGAGAGAAATAAATGAAATCATCTTTTTACCATTTAGCAGTCAGATTATCTGTAGTATTGTACTAGAACTTGATATTGTCATTAATAATCACCAACGATAAGAGAGTTTATTAATATAAAACCTTACCTTTCATTCCAGCTCTCTTTGTATCATCAATAGTTAAAAGTATTTCTACTGCACTTTGAGCATTTTTAGATAACTTTTCGTCACCTTCTGGCCAAGGGATATCTATAAATATAAATACACAAATAAACTTGTTAATTGCTGCTTAACAGATAAATGAATCTATCTTAATCTTTCAATGAGAAAAATAGGAGAAAAATGAATCACCTCTTTTCAGAATATTCTGGAATACTTGTTGTGGTGTCTCATCATTAAAAGGGGGAATTCCAGTTAGAAATTCAAACAAGCAAACTCCAAGTGCCCACCAGTCTACTGCAGGACCTGGAATTAGGAGGAAATAGCTGAATTTGCAAGCATTTTTCCACAAATATCTGATCAACTAAAATATCAGTGTAGAGATATTTGAGTGTAATCAAGGCTTTCATTGGCTAAGGCTTTCTACTGTCTTCATACAGTACAAAAATCCAAAAACATATTACTTTCCTCTTTATTTTCTAAGTAATTTAGACTGGCAACTAGCACAGCTATTTAAAGGAACAGTAAAGCCATTTATTTTCATTTATTAATAACTTCTGATATCCTGGGTACTTTATGCGTTCTAATTCCTAAAGCACAACAAAAGGATGCATTTAATGTAAAGAATATTCTCTAAGACATTCTACTTCTTAATTTCGAGTCAGGAGTAAGTACATTTAGATGATTATCTGTACTCCACTGTTTTCATAAAAGGAAGAGATGAGACAGCAACATTTATACAATTTGGAAGATGGCTTGATAAGGAGGGAAGGCCCTAATTATAGAATGTTTTAATGTGGCTTTATTCTTTTTAAGAACCTAAGACAAATTAGTTTAACAAAATATTTAAATTCTGGCTTGAAGAAGAAATTAGGAGATAATAAATAGGTAAAACTAATATCTGAATAACATTGAAAACAATATTTGTATACAAAGTTGTTTTTTATTTTTCAGAAGGGTCTCACTATATTGCCCAGGCTGGCCTTGAACTCCTGGGCTTAAGTAATCTTGCTACTTCAGTCTCCCTAGTACCCAGGATTATAGGCATGTGCCATGCCCAGCTATACAAAGATTTTAATGATTATGTTAATCATGACCATATAAATTGGTTTACACTTTTATTTCTGTTCATGAATAAAGTATTTTCTACAGAAAGATTAATTTTTGATAAAAATGGTTAATTTTAAAATTAAGAATTTGTAGCTAAGTTTGCTACAAATTATTCTTTTATACATTTATTTTTTTCTTTAGTACTGGGGATTTAAAAGCACAGGGGCACTTTGCCACTAAGCTACATCTTAGCACCTTTTATTTTATTTCACTTTTTGAGACAAGGTCTCAATAAATTGAGGCTGGTCTTGAACTTTTGACCCTCCCGCTTCAGAGTCCCAAGTAGCTGGTATTAGAGAGATACACCATTGCACCCGGCTTCTTTCTTTTCCCTTTTCTTTCCTTCCTTCCTTTCCTTTCTTTCTCTCTTGCCCTTCCCCTTCCTCCCCCCTCCCTCTCTTCCTTCCTCTCTTTTCCTCTGAACCCAGGAGCTCTTAACCTCTGACCCACATCCCAGCATTTTAAATTTTGAAACAGTTTCTTGCTGAGTTGCAGAATGCCTCACTAAGTTTCTGAGGCTAGCCTTGAACTTGTGATCCTCCTACCTCAGCCTCTAGAGCCAAGGGGATAATAGGCATGTGCCATTTGCCTGGCTTGCACCCAACTTCTTTAAAGACAATTTCACAAACTTTATTATTGTAGTTAAGCAACGGCCACCATCCCATTTTAAAAGAAGTAAGAAAGCATTGTAGAAAAAAACTGCATGCATTTAGAGTACCTTTTTACCTGCAAACTCCATAATCCCCTGTTCCCTTTGAGGATTATAAGATGCTAATGGTCTGTAGGTTTCTATTTCTATAGAAATCATTATAAAAACATACAGACCACCTCAGTTAGTACATCTTTTAAGCAGCATGGAGAAAGAATTATTCTAATGGATTAGATAATATAACCAAATAACAGGAAAGCTGGAAGAAATCAGGAAAAAATGTATTTTTATTTACCTCGAGTTAGACATTAGAACCCATACCCAGCTCAGCTGAAATTGTACTTGTGTTAAAAGCATTCATGATTTCTCCACAGATATGTCACAGATAACCATATACTTAAGTCAAAGTCTAATAAGACCACATATTGTGATAAATCTTAGCAATTACAACACTTTATTAGCTGGAGAAAAAGAACAAGCTTGTTTTATACTAACTGGCTTTCTAATTCAAAACCCATTCATAATTTGTAGAGCTATATTGATATTGTTATCTTTCTATTTTCTAATAGTAAAGAAATTTAAAATGTAGAAAATTCGATTTTAATAACTTCATCAAAACTATTGCTTCTGTTGTCATAAAAAGCTTATCTCTTTACTCTTTGATACCATTAAGTTATAAAAAAATGTCATTACCTACATTTTTTTTTCACAAACAATCATATTTCTGGATGTCTTTCTGCTCAGAAAACAGAGACAGTTCAGTATTTTATTGAGCATAAAGTAAACATTATTTTATTATGCAATGTGATCTAGTTACACTTTGACTATAGTTTAATGTGCTCTGCCACATTACTTTATAGAGAAGCTCACTTACCTGAAGTCAGAAACCCTGCATGTAAGAAAACAATAGTTAGGTACACTCTGTTAAAATTGTGAGTTAATTCCCTCACTATTTTTAGGTAGTGTACCAGATATAAGATGAAAACGGCCTTCTCAAGAAGAGATGATATAGATATTTTTAACACAATGTTAAAATAGCTGAAACACAAATGTACCCAAGAAGTTACAAGAAACTCAGCTTGTTTCAGGGACAAGATGATGGAAGTCATCTGGGAACCCTGCTTAGGGCCTTGCTAAGTTGAAGAGGCTGGGTTTGAACTCGGAATCTTCCTGCCTCAGCATTCCAAGTTGCTAGGATTACAGGCATGTACCATGGTGCCTGGCTTGGTTTAGTTTTGTTTCCATGGTGTGAGGGATTGAATCCAGGCCTCACACATGTCAAGCAAGTATTCTACCACTGAACTGCATTCTCAGTCCCCAAGTTTCTAATAAGGTGATACAGAAATAAATAACTCTTAGTAGTTGGTCAAGGGATACTTTATAAAGATAAAACATTTGAACTGATGATGAGATAAGAAGAAATTTGATTGGATAATGATTGTCAACTAAAACAAAATACATGTGCAAAATAAGGAAGAGTTGGACATTAAATGTATCTCATTAAGAAAAGGAATGAAAGCATAAAGCATATAAAGAGATTCTTTGAGATGAGCTTAGAGTCTTGAGCATCATGATCAGGAATTTGGATTTTGTTTAGCAGATCAGAGGGAACCATCATAGTTTTTCCCTCCAAAAAAAAAAAAAACCAGAATGAACCATAGTTTAGGAAGAAAAATCTGGTTGCAATGATTACAGACAATAGAATGAAAATGAGAAGATCAGATAGATAGAAGGCCATTAAAATAATGAAAGACAAAGATGAGGTTCTTAGAATGGTAGCAGAGATAAAAAGCTCTGCAGAGATCTAATTAAATGGATTTAATGTCTGAATGTAGGAATGATTGTCTTCATGGAGATGGTGAAACAAATAGGGAACAGAGAGTGAGCTGGATAACAAGTCCTGTTTTTACATGCAACACTTGAAAGATCAGTAGAATGCTGACTAGGCAGGTTGGGCTGTGTGTGTGCTGCCTAGGGAAAGGATTAGAGATAGAGATTTGGGGATCATCAAAATGGAGGTAACAATTAAAGTCCTTTGGAGTGATGAGATTAAGGGCCATGGGAAGGGAACAGAAGCATGGGGCAATATCTTGAAGAACTACTCAGTCCTCTATCCAGTGCTGTGGGTAGAATATACTTGAAAAAAACTGCATCTGTATTGAACTTGTACAGACTTCTTTTTTGTCTTATAATTATTCCGTAAGTACAACTACTTAAATAGCCTTTAGACTGTATTAGATGTTATAAGTAATATAGAGGTGATTTAAAGTATACAGGAGGATATACATAGTTTATATGCAAATACTGTGCCATTTCCCCACCACCACCACCTTTTTTTTTTAACTGTGCCATTTAATACAAGGGACTTGAGCATTCACAAATTTTAGCAGTCCTTGGGGAATCATGAAACCAATCCTTCATAGATATTGAGGGAATTATACTTGACAGACATAAGGGAAAAAACCTGACAATTGTAATAGAGGTTAAGGGAAATGAGACTGAGAAGAAACTGTTGGGTTTGACAATAAGGATGGTGGTAATGGTTAAGAAAAGTTTCAGTTAAATAGCCAAGATAACAAACACATTACCAGAACAAAAATAATCAGGCAAAGAAAAGAGGCAACCTTTGAGACATTTCACAGTGAGGTCAAGACAAAAGCAGAAACTTACTTTCAGGCTGGGGATAAAAACAAGCAAAGAAATAAAAATAGAAATGGTGTGAGAGGTCGAATGGGGAGGATGAAACAGGTGATAACCAAAGGAGCCCAAATAAAAGGGAAGTAATTAACATCAAGATGTTGAAGAAGAAATTCATCTTATGGACTGAACTGTCACTTTGGCCAAAAAAAAAGTATGTTAAAGTCCAAACTCCCAGGCTGGTGATGTAGCTCGGGGTTAGAGTACCTGACTGGCAAGCCTATGGCCCTGGGTTCAATCCCCAGTATCACAAAAGAAAACAACACAAAAAACCCAGTCCTAACTCCTAGTAAGGATCTCAGAATATGACTTTATTAGGAAATAGAGGCACTGCAGTTGTAATTAATTAGGTTAAAAGGATAGATTGAAATAGGGTGGGACCCTAATTTAATATGACTGCTGTCCTTCTAAGAAGTCAGCATATAATACAGACACAGGGAGAAAACAAACCATCTGCAGAGGTAGAATTGTAATGATGCAGCTACCACATCAGGAGGACCAGAGATTGCTAGGAAACCACCAGAAGCTTGTAAGAGGCAAGGAAGGATTCCCTAAGGTTTCAGCAGAAACATGGCCCTGTCATCACCTTGAATTTGGATTTCTAACTTCCAGAACTATCAGACAATAAATTTTTGTTGTTTTGAGCCATCAAATTTGTGGTACTTTATTACAGAAGTTTTAGTAAATGAATATAGTTCATTTCAAAATGTAGGAGAGGAATATTTTTTAAAGAAAGAAAGGAAAGAAAATAAAGAAGACAGGTGAAAATATCTTTTCATTATTAGGTACCATTTTGAAGGATGGTTCAGTTCTGGTTTGACTATTCTGGTGAAGTTGTGAGCGAGGATAAGTTCTAAAACAGGAAGAGGATTCTGGATACTGAATAGAAATTCAGGCCCAACATTATAGTAATAAGCATTGTAGACCAGATATGAAACATTTAGAGCAAACATAATGTAGGGGGTGGGATGTGGGGCTTCTCTATATTATGAGACTGAATCAAAGAAGGCAAAGGATAGCCAGGCACAGTGGTATACACCTGTAATTCCAGTGGCTCAGGAGGCTGAGACAGGAGGATCATGAGTTCAAAGCCAGTCTCAGCAAAAGTGAGCTGCTAAGCAACTCTGTGAGACCCTGTCTCTAAATAAAATGTAAAATAGGGCTGCGAATGTGGCTTAGTGGCCGAGTGCTTCTGAGTTTATTCCCTGGTACCTCCCCTCCCACCAAACAAAAAGGGCAAAGGACAAATAGTTGCATGTCCTTTAGTATTTGGTCTTCTACATTCAGAAAATAACAGCCATTTCTTTTTCTTTTTCCTACAATAATATATGGGTGAAAAGAGTATTTCAAGCTGAGTGATGGAATACACTTATAATTCTCACTACTTGGGAGACTAAGGCAGGAGGATCGTAAGTTTGAGGCCAGTGTACGCAATTTATTGAGACCCTGTCTCAAAATAAACAAGGGCTGGGGATGAAGCACTTGCATAGAATGCTCAAGTTCAATCCCCAGTACTGTAATTAAAAAAAAAAAAAAAAAGTATTAGCTGAGTATATTTTCTTTTACTTTAAGTTAGTAAGGTAAGTGTCAAATTTAAAATAATTTTTACCTTAAAAGATAAATGTAGTGATAGATCATGATTCAAAACCCAAGACATACAAGTCTTACCATGGGCTGTGCTCAATAACAGCTCAGGTGCCAGGTAGTCTGGGGTTCCTAGAATTCGGCCATCATCCATTGGGGCTGCCCCTCTTCTCACACTTTTTGGAGTTCGGTATGAAGTTCCTGATTTGATCTGATTTGGGGTCTGCTAATTCAAAAGGATTTTAAGAGACAACAAATAAATCTTAATTCTTTTTACCAAAAGTAAAGTACTAAAATTAAAAAAAGCTAGATCATGGACTGGAGGTATATAAGATACACTCAATGGATTCACAACTAGTTGTAATTATGAAAAAGTCTTTACATGTAATGAAATTCAGTAGCTTAGATAACATCAATTATTTTGTTAATATCTGGATACACAAGCAACAATGAAAAAGTGCACAATTCTTCTTCTTTTTTTTTTGTACCAGGGATTGAACTTAGAGGCACTTAATCACTGAGCTATATTCCCAGCCCTTTTTAATTTTGAGATAGGGTCTTGCTAAATTGGTTAGGGCCTCGCTAAGTTGCTGAGGCTGGTTTTGAACTCTTGATCCTCCTGCCTCAGTCTCCTGAGCTGCTAGGATTACAGGTTTGCGCCATAGTGCCTGGCAAGAAAAAAATTTTGACAGCATGGATAAACATTGCTTAGGAAGATTTACTGAGAAAAGTTGTTGCTGACAAATGATTGAATTATTAGGACAATATGTGATAAACTAAATATAAACAAATTCCTGTACTCAATGGCATTTAAAAGGTTTTAAGAAAATTGTCTAACAATCTTTTGAGTCCAGGAGGACCAGTACTGCAAACAATTGGAAAAATAGGCTCTGAGGTTGAGGCACTTCTAAGTCCTAAGTAAGTTCTAGTTTTATAACTTAAATTCAGAGTTCATGCTTTTTATATTATGATGTCCTTCCAAAGGAAGAAAAAATATAAAGCTTTTGGTTTAAAAGGTAAGGTTTAGAAAATAAGCACAATTTGTTGTTATTTTTATTTACTTATTTATTGTTTCCAGGGATTGAACCCAGGGGCATTTAACCACTGAGCCACTTCCCCAGCCCTTTTTTATATTTCATTGAGAGACAGAATCTCACTGAGTTGCTTAGGGCCTGGCTAAGTTGCTAAGGCTGGTCTTGAACTTGTGATCCTCCTGCCTCACCCTCCTGAGCTGCTGGGATTACAAGCATGAGCCACAGCACCTGGATTGTTATTTTAATTATATATATTTTAACTTTTTTTCTATAATGAGATCATCTAAATGTGTCCTTGGAAGACACTAGGTTAACAGTAGATTTTAATTTGTCAGGATTAACCCAACTACTATATATAAAACCACAAAGCTCTATTAATAAAGGAAGAAAGAAGAAAGTAGACTTTAATTTTGTATTGTATAGTATTGCTGAGATCAAGTAAAAATGTGATTATATTTGCTTAGAAAAGTATATTGTGCTATACAAATGAAAGATACTATTGTTAGTAATAAACTGTTACTACAGTTTTACCATTCTGCAAGAAAACTTCCAACAATTCATAGATTCTCAATAAGGAGAATGAAACTATACAGTTAATTAATATCTTATAGTCTAGCTGAGAGGTGAATGTCTTTCTTAATAATTTACTTTTCTAAAATTCAAAGAACAAATTATTAAAAAGCTGTAATGTACCTGATATGACATATAGGATGTTCCTTTTTGAGTAGGGGTGACAGCCATGGGATCTGAGCCAGTATAACCACATGAAATATCCATTGCATCTAAAGAAGTGATGCTCATCTTGGATGGTTCTGAATTATTGGATGCATTAATATGACTATTAAAACTTCGAAAAACTACGGCATTTCTTTTACAAAGAGTTAAGGTCTTCAACACATCTGAAGAAGGAGCTAATATTTTTTGGTTATTGTCTTGGATAACAGGGTTCTCATCTTCTTTTGGCAAGGTATTTTCTTGGCAGTTTGGTGATACAATAAGTAGATCTTCAATATTTGATTCTTCAAAAGAGGATTCCTTAATACTTTTATCTGGATCTAAGGATTGTCTTTCTAATGAACTTTCCATGATAGAACTTCCAGGAAAAGACAAATCTGAGTCCATATTAATACTTTTGGGAGCTCTATCATCATCAGAGCATAGAAAATTAGAATTTAAGTAGTCCTTATTAGTCTTTTCACAATCTTCCTCTAGTTCACACATAAGGTTTTTTGCTATCGTTGGTATAGGTAATTTTTCTGGTGTTTGTTGTTTATCAGTAAAATAATCGACAATGTTTTCCTTATTAGCACAGTCATTTTGCTGACTTCTGTGCACTGATAACTTCAAATTCTGAACTTCAGCTGTTAAGCCTGAATTTTGATTTGTGTTACAATTTATCATTTCATTACTATGGTTATACTCCCCACAATTTTTTTTATTTTGTATAATTTCCTGACAAGGACTAGAGTCAACCAACTCAATTTTTCTTTTTAAGCTTCTTTTCCCAAGGTGCTCTTCAGATACATCACTAGAATTTACAGTCCACTGCTTTGACTCATGGAAACTAGACTGTCTTGTGTCAGTGGCCATATTTACATTAATTACATCCAGTTCTGTTGCTTCCCAAGAAACTTCCCCAGAGAAGCATTTTTTAGCAAGATTTACACAAGAGCTTCCAGTGGCAGGAATGGCACTGGGGTTGTGAATGGGAGAAAGGGCTAACTCAAGATCCTTTTTATGGAAACTTTTGGTCTCAACAGCATTTGCAGATTTTGCACATAACTTGTCAACTGTACTCCAACTCATCATTGTAGAGCCCGATGCTTCATCACTTTCCTGAGAGGAAGAGAAATACTTTTTTTAGTTATATAAAGCTGAGAATCTTTTTTTTGGGGGGGTGGGAGGCTATCAGGGATTGAACTTAGGGGCACTCGACCACTGAGCCACACCCCCAGCCCTATTTTATATTTTATTTAGAGATGGGGTCTCATTGCGTTAATTAGCACCTTGCTTTTGCTGAGGGTGGCTTTGAACTCCTCTCTACCTTCTGGCCATCTAGGTGTGATAGATAACTCCATAAAATATAATGCTACCTATTCTCACTAAAACAAAAGAACAATAATCACAGAGAATTAAAAAGAAATATAAGCACATAGAGCATAAGTTTATGCACATTATTTTGAATGAAACATAATCTGAAATCTAAGTCAATTATCCTTTATTATATAGGTTGATAGTATACTACATATTATTATGGGTAACATACTTAGGCAAATTTCGACATTATGTATATATGTTTTGTAGTAGGGGTATATGAATGATTCTGTTTCAAAGTACAAAATGCCTAGGGCTTGAAAATTAAACAATAAAAAATTAAATAGCAAAAACATTGTTACTATAAACATGTACCACTTCACATGAGTAATAATGCCAAAAATAGCAGGAATTAAAATCTACTGTCAATATGAGGAATTGATGATAATTGATAACAAAATGCTTTTCTCAAAACTGAATTCCAACTATCTGCAAGTGCTCATGTATACTCAAGAGCTTTGTATGTAATATGGCAAAATAATTCATGGTGACAAGGATTTTTTTATAAGATTACTCCATTAGAGTGATGCTTTTAATTTATTATTTATTTATTTATTTTAGTTGTAGATGGACACAATACCTTTATTTAATTTATTTATTTATATGTGGTGCTGAGGATTGAACCCAGTGCCTCACATGTGCTAGTCAAGTGCTCTACTACTGAGCCACAACCCCAACCCACCATTAGAATAATTTTTTAGTAAACTCTTATATTGCCTATTTTTGAAGTACAAATATCAAACTTTAATAACTATTATTATCTTACTTAATAAGGAGGATCATTTAGTTCCAACCAAAAAGGAAATTCCTGAATTATAATTCACTGATCTCACAGCACAGAAAAAGATGTATTTAGGGATCAGTACAAGGCTATCAGAGTTCCTTACAGTCCATTATCACTCCTCTGATCACAACTTGAGAAGCACTACTATAATCTAACCTTTGTGTTCCTCAGGAATGCAGAAGTGGGAGGAAAGAAAGGAAAGCTGTATATGTGTATCCTATAGCATATATTATTTATAGCACAGCCTATAAAGAGAGGAGAAAAAATTTACTGAGAATAAAAAGCAAATACATATAAATCCAAATTATTTATTTTATCAAATGGAAGGTTTATTCTAATCTAACATTATTTATCAGCATTCTATGAAGATATTATTATACTTTTACAATTTAGTTCCTATCTCTTTTAGTACCTATAGCTTTAAAAACTTAATAAAATAAGAGCAAAGTGAGGCTCAAGCAGAGAGCACTCTCTAGAGAGAGACAGGGACATCTCCAATCAGAGAATGACAAGGAGACAATGCTGTTTCCATATTTATTACTGTTTCTAGCTTTAATAACCTTCTTTTGGTGGGGAGGGGTACTGGAGATTGAACTCAGAGACACTTGACCACATAGCCACATCCCCAGCCCTATTTTGTATTTTATTTAGAGACAGGGTCTCACTGAGTTGCTTAGGGCCTTGCTAAATTGCTGAACTTTGAACTCAAAATCCTCCTTGTCTCAGCCTCCCAAGTCACTGGGGTTACAGTCATATGCCACCATGCCTGGCTTAATAACTTTTTTAAAAGGCAAAAACAATACATAGATTAAGTAAATTAATTTTAACAAAATCCACTCATTTGGCGAGCAGTCTCCTCAGAATAGATACTTTTAAGGGCATACCCATATTACCTTGGTGGTATATAAGCTATTTCTAAAGAGTTACCATTCCTTTAAGTGAGAAATTGGTGGGAAAAAGTATAGAGGGAGGTACATGGAGTTCTAAAGATTAGAAGCAAACACACACAACAAAAAACTCAATATGCTGGTGTGTGTATCATGGTTGGGAATTAAAAAGAAAAGTCCATCTAGATTCCTAGAAGCATTTACTATCAGTCTACTATAATTATTTAATTACTATATTTTAAGCAAGAGCAGTTTCCCAACAGAATGAGAAATGAAATATTTCAAAAGAATTGGTAACAAATGAAGAATTTTTGATAATACCTTGAGTGCCATTCATGAAACAATTTCATTTCCTTATAGGGTTTATATGAAAAGCTACGGTGTCTTTCTCATTCATTTGATATACACATTTGGTTTTGAGTAAAATAAATGTTTTCCTAACCTGGGAATCCTTTTCCCATTTGGGACTGCTGTGACACTCTGATTCCACACTGGATACAAAGGTGTGGGATTGACTACTGGCACTAGATGTAGCCAGTCTTTTCCTAGACTGGAGCAGATTTGAAGTTAGACATTTCACAGGAACTCCTGGGTTGGAGGCAAATGTTTCAAGACCTGTAGGAAAAAGTAAATATTGAAACTTATGTCAAAGCTTTCTTAATTCCTCACTGAACCTGAATCTTTACAGACAACTGTATTAGACACTGCATATCAGGACTGTTTCTTTGTAAATACTATCAAGTCTACAAGGATGCCTATAGGTGGTTGGGGCATGATTCTCATTATAGATTCATAAATTGTTACAAAGTACTGCTCACAAAGAGAATACAAAACAAAATCCCCTTAACATTTGTAAAGTTAGAATCAAGATAAGGGATTCTTACAATTAGAAAGGGAATCCATTTTGAGTTACTAATAATTCTGGATAAAGGAGCCTATATATTTTTTTTAGTATTTTTTCAGTTGTAGATGGACACAATATCTTTATTATTTGTTTGTTTGTTTGTTTATTTATTTATTTAATGTGGTGCTGAGGAATAAACCCAGGGCTTCACGTGTGGGAGGCAAGCACTTTACCATTAAGCCACAATTCCAGCCCCAAGGAGCATTATTGATATACTATATCAGCTGTGCTATGATAAGGTTAGAATGTGACTCAGTTTAATGTGTACTTAATTAAAACTATAGCTTTATTGTAATGTTAAGATTTATGTGCTTATGAGTATGAATTATAGGCATCCTAAGGGATTTTTTTTTCTTTTTCTTTGCAGCATTGGAGATCAAACACAGGGCCTTAAGCATGCTTTAAAAACACTTTACCACTGAGCTACATCCCCACCCCCATATAAGGGGTTTTCTTAATATGACTTGGTAAAGTGGGCTGGGATATAGTTCAGTTGGTAAAGAGCTTGCCTTACATGCACAAGGCCCTGGGTTCAATTCCCAGCACCACAAGAAAAAAAAAAAAAAAGACTTGGTAAAGCAAATAAGTAATGGTAAAGCAGCTAACAGTGAGCCAACACAGTAAAGTAGCATCATCTATATAGCACCTATTCCTTTAATATATTTAAATAATTCTATAAAATGCTTGTTCCTCAACTAATAGATGTAAGACAATCATGTTTTAACTGAAGATTAGAATATATGGATGAAAGGATTTCATACATATATAAAAAGATGGATATGTCTTGTTTTCTTTCCCCAAAAAAAGGTGAACGTTACTTTAATCTCAAGGAAATTCTTAGGTTTATAGCTTTTTGATCTAATAAGCCTTAGAACTTTAAAACTGGAAGAAGAATTTCAAAGTCTATTTAATCCAAATTTTTTAAAAATATTTTTTTAGATGTTGATGAACCTTTATTTCATTCATTTATTTATATGTGGTGCTGAGAATTGAACCCAGTGCCTCACACATACTAGCCAAGTGCTCTACCACTGGCCACAACCCCAGCCCCCAACTTTGTTTTCCAATACATAAATCCTCTCAATGGAATTCCTGAATTTCACTGAACACTGAACCTGATATATGACTGAAGTGCTCAACACCCTTCCCCCAATAATATAAGAAATTATATTTAATTAATGCCATGTGCATACTGTATATTGCTACTGCATTATTTCTCCATCAATGTTATGATGAGAACATTGCCTACTTTGGAACTTGTGATAGCTCCCAGTTTTTTACAGGTAAAATCCTAGTATTCCTGTAATGACACTTGATCCTTTCCCATCTACCTGCCAAGCTTCTTTTCCATTGTACATAGTTCTCTTTGTCACATATCATATTTAATCCCTATTGTCTGAAGATGAATATACTTCCACATGCATATGCCTTTTGCATATGTACCGTCTATCTGAAATGCCCCCTTTCACCAAACTTGTAGTGAGTGAAGTTATTGCTTCTCTTTCTGGATCCAAGTTGGCCATTACTATGTCTTCACTTAGAACCATTCCAGATTCATTCTACTTAGCACTTGTTACTTCCCCTTCTTGTCTGATTTATTTTATAGGATTGTTCATGTTATTCCTTTATACCTGTACTCACCACAAAACTACAAATTATCTGAGGCCAGGACCTCTCTTACTCATTCTTATACCCACTCAAATGACCAGCACAGTGCCTACCTAGTTTTGACAGATTAAAGAATGACTAGGAAAAATGCAGAATAAGGATATTACATCTGTATATTTCATATTTTAACAGTCTTCTGTTTGTCAAGATATACATTTTTTTTTTTTAAATTTAGCCATGTAATTTTGGCAGAAGAAATAAGACTCATTACATTTGGAGGACAAATTTAGTGGACAGAAATGTATTTGTAATCAGATTTAGTTTCCACTTACTACTACTGTGTAACTAAATCTTTTTCTTTCTTTCTTTCTTTGGTACTGGAGATTGAACCCAGGGGTTTTCTATCACTGAGTCCTTTTTATTTTTTATTTTGAGAGAAGATCTTATTAAATTGCTGTGGATGGTCACAAATTTGCAATTCTCCTGCCTTAGCTTCCCAAGTTGCTGGGATTACTGTGTGTGCCATCACGCCCAGCCTAAATATTTTCAAATATTAGTTTTCTCATTTGAAAAAAGGAGACATTACTATACATATACTAAATATGTACAGTTTAGTCAAAGGGCAAAATAAAAATGAGCTAAAACCTATGAAAATAACTAATAACTTCAACAAATTTATAACCTAAATAACATGAGTTCAGAGAAGTAAATTATCCACTATCAATAAGTAATAAGGGATGAAGTCAAGTGCTATACAAACATCTGTCCCATTCTCCTCTATTATTTGACATTTGTCTTTTATGTCATGCAAAAAAAATCCTCAAAATTTTAAATTTAAGCTACTTCAAAATCTTTTGGAATTAGCTTATAGAGATAATCAACATGGCAGGTACTATATCTTCGTTTTTTTTTAAAATTTTTTTGGTAGTTGTAGATGGACAGAATGCCCTTATTTTGTTTATTTTTATGTGGTGCTGAGGATCGAACCCAGTGCCTCATGCATGCTAGGTAAACGCTCTGCCACTGAGCTACAGCCCCAGCCCTCTATATCTTCTTTATAAAAGATTTCCACAGACCCAGTTTAGTGAAATTGACGACTACCATAGGTCATTGAAGGATATCTCATTAGCTAGATATTTTATTGTCAACTTAAAAATCATTGCAATCCCTATCAGAAAAGACATTTATGAAATACAGGACAATCCAAATATTTACATTTTAAATTATTAAATTGATATTAGAAATTGAAACATTGGAAAACATTTTTGTGTTTTAAGAGACACTGAATGGAGTAAAGTATCTTTTCTTTTATACTCACATGATTTTAGTAGTTTGCTAGAATAAGGATTAGCCTCCTTTTGATCTATAGACATAGGACAAATTAATCCTTGAGAAAATTGTGATGTTTCAGATAGATGAGTTGAAATGGTATCTATAGAGTCTTGATTTTTTTCTGCAACTGGTGTGAACTATTAAAAAGAGAAAATTAAAGAAACACTAAAAGAGTCATCTTCACAGAAGTGTATATATTATGTTGAGTTTTTTCTTATCAAGTACTTACAAATCTCAAAGAACTGATGAGAGATAATACTTGTCCTGGGGTTCTTGAATAATCTTCTTTAGGTTTAGCCATTGAAGGTGTTGTAAGGATATCCATCATATTGATATCTATGTATGCAAAGGAAAGTATATGAAATTTCTTTAAAATCTTCATTGTCATCGACTAAGTTGATAATAAGAAATACTAGTTAATTAACTGAAATCATTAAAAAGTTGATAGAATACTGTCTTACTCAGGAATGAATATAACATAGAGAAATGACTCAGAATCCTATTAACTTTTTAGGGAATACTCAGTGACTGAAAATGAGTGCTACCCAACTAGCAAGAAAATGATCTTTTGGTAAATCAAATATTGGAAAAGGAGGTAGTAAGGAATTAATACAAATATGGGCCTCTCATGTTAACAAATATGTCTTAAGCTTAGGTCAAGATAGAAATTCATCTCTATTATTAACGTGTTTCAATACATACTATTTCAAAATAATTGAACATTGACACATAACACCATATTATTTTCTTAGATATCAAAAATGGTATGAGAAGTTTAACGTTCTGTATATGGCATAAGACTTAAAAAAAGTAGACTTAAATTCTGAACTTAAAATTTAATTTACACCTCACACTGATGAAGTAATAAAAGCCAATAGGTGTCAGGTATGGTGGCATATGTCTATAATCCCAGCAGCTCAGAAGGCTGAGACAGGATGATCTTGAGTTCAAACCCAGCCTCAGCAAGGTGAGGTGCTAAGCAACTCAGTGAGTCCCTGTCTCTAAATAAAATACAAAATAGGGCTGGGGATGTGGGATGTGGCTCAGTGGTCAAGTGACCCTGAGTTTAATCCCAGGACCAAAAAGGGGAAAAAAAAATCCAATAGGTAATAGTAATTAATCTTAAAGGATATTTTATTAAAAAAATCAGAGTCATATGATATAAAAATAATTTAAATTTCTGATAATATCATCCTACTACAAATTTTTCCTCATTCATATTTTCCAATGATTATCTGAATTCCTTGGAGTTAGATTTGTTTCACAATTCAAAATGTTTAGATTTAAGAAAACTAATGGGATGAATGTACTTTATAGTATGGAATATCCTTATTGACATCTCATATAAGCAACTGTAATGAAATATCATTTCTGCAGCAAAATGTATGAATAATCACATGAAGCAGAATTAAGAAAGAATACAAATAGCCTCATATAAGCTGAAGTCAGTTTTTACCAAACTTAGGAAAAACTGAAAGGTATTCACAACTGTTTGAAAATTATAAAAAGAATTGTAGCACTACATATATTCTCAAATAGTTATAATTCCAGGGTTTATAATTCATAAGCTCAATTTTAGGTTACTGTTAATTTATTTAAAAAAATGCCTTTCCATCTTTCTAACCTTCTGCAGTGCATGTGTGTGGTTGGGGACTGAACCCAGAGCCTCATACATGATAGGAAAATGCTCTACTACTGAGCTATATACCCTCAGCCCACTTTATGCTTCTTAATAGTGAATACAATGTTTCCAAGATGACAATCTATCATCTATCCATGTTTCTGTGATGAAATTAAGTGACTTCTTATTTATATCCATTGGAAACAATGCTGCTACAAATAATTTTATTTGCATATATTTTGTTCTCTTGAATAATTTCCTTATAAATTCTAAAACATAAGATCAAAAAGAATTAAAACCATTTTTAAAAAAATATTTACAGCATTTCTTTAGAAAGCACTATGCTAATTTATAATGCCCATCAAAAAACTGTTTTTGTAGTCTCATTAACTAGATCATCAGTATTCCTTTTTGATATATACTTAATAGTGTAAGATGGTTCATTTTTTAAAAACATTTTTAGTTGTAGATGACACAATACCTTTATTTTTATTTATTTTATTTTTATGTGGTGCTGAGGATCGAACCCAGTGCCTCTCTCGTGCTAGGCAAGAGCTCCACCAATGAGGTACAACCCCAAAGCAGATGGTTAAACCTTTTTTTTTTTTTTTTTTAAACATTCATTTTTTTTTAGTTGTAGTTGGACACAATACCTTTATTTTATTTATTTATTTTTATGTGGTGCCACGGATAGAACGCAGGGCCTTGCACGTGCTCATGTTAACAAATATGCTAGGCAAGTACTCTACTGCTGAGCCACAACGCCATCCCTGATGGTTAATTTTATAATTAACATTTATTAAATCACTACTTGAAATGAACATATTTTCATATACATAAATATGTGTGAATTATGTGTTCATTTTCTTTGCTCCTGTGTTTATCACTTAGTGATGGCCATAAATATTTGAATTAGTTTTCAGCTATTATTAATACGTCATTATATTTTAATAGTTTAGTCATTTTATTGATGCTTAAGTGTAAGGACCAGTTTCAGCAGGGAGAAAATTCAGAAGACCAGAAATTCTGAGTTCCTTTTGAACATCAAAGGCTTTTTAAGGACCTAATAATCACATGGGCTGGGGTTGTAGTTCAGTGGTAGAGCACTTGCCTAGGATGTGTGAGACCCTGGCTTTGACCCTCAACACCACATAAAAATAAAAAAATAAACTAAAGGTATTGTGTCCATCTATAACTAAAAGAAAAAAAAAAAAAAAAAAGAAGAAGAATCATGCCCATTTTTCATTTTTTTTTTCTTTGGTGTTTGGAATTGAATCCAGGGTTTCACACATGTTAGCATGTACTCTACCACTGAGCTGCCCACCAAGGTTTTCATTTGCTATGGGAAAAAAAAACAAAACACTATTACATTTTTCTAGCCTATTTTAGAAAAAATAACCATCAATTTTATTTGATGTAAATGAACAAAGAAAACAGTGTAAGTTAATGTCTCTAAATTTTATTGGACTTTTAAAAAGACACATTTACCTGTTATTTTTCTTACCTCTATTCAGAGTCACTTTGGAGAGGCCAAAATCTGTCAGTTTAATATGACCCTCATTAGAAATAAGCATATTATCTGGTTTCAAATCCCTGCACATACAAAAGGCACAGTGGATAACTTTAAAAGAAAGAGTTTTGATGTTAGAATGTCCAGGGTAAAAAGAGAGAGAGAGAGAGAAAAAGAGAGTATTTGTTAAGAAGAGGCAAGTGTTATTTATTTCCTTTACAATAAAGGCACTCATTGGTAGTTTTGAAAAGTACAGAAAACAACTCTGAAAAGCAAAAACACCTTTTTTGTATATTTGAATCTACAAAAAATGTTAAGTGATTGTAACTAGATTATCTTTGTCATTATCAATTAATACAAATAATCTCATTAAATAAAATCAACCTCAAGTCATTCAAAGTACATCTCTCTCTTTAAATGAGGTAAAATTATGCTTTAACAGAGCAGAGTCACATAATCATTCTTTGTACAGAGGAAAACAGTATAAAACAGCAAGGATCACAATATAGCATGTTATGGTAGGAACAGAAAAGGATTCAATATTCCTCATATTAAAATGCTATCTATGTTCATGTTGAAAACTATAAAAACATAGGAAGGTAAAACAAGAGTTAATGGAATTTGTAAACTCGTATGAGATGCTACTAAACTTTATATAACCTGGAAATATGGGCAGGTGGTTACTACAAATATTTGAGAGTCAAACTTTTTTTATTTCTTTTGAAATATAGATTTCATTATGTTGCCCAGGCAAGCCTCAAACTTGTAATCTTCTGCCTCAGTCTCGAGATTGTAACCTCTGGTACATAATTTGATTACCTGTATTTTTAATAATAGTTTAGAGAAAAGGTGATCTTTACCTGTGGATGATTCCATGTCTATGAAGGTAGTCTAGTGCCAATGCTACTTCAGAAATATATTTCACAGCCATCTCTTCATCAAAATAACCATATATATGTAGGAGAGACTTTACATCTCCACCAATAAGATACTCCATTACCTATCAAAAGGAATTTAATGTTGTGGAATAAAAACAATATAATTTAAAAATAAAGTATTTGGGCATTACAGTCATATATTTTAAGCATGATTCTATTAACAAAACATTTTCTTTTTTTGTTTTCCTTTTAAATTTTTTGCAGTGCTGGGGATTGAAGTCAGGGCATTCTACAAAAAGGCAAATGCTCTACTATTAAGCTACAACGCCAGCCCTTAAAACACATTTTCCTATTATGACTCATTATATATTAACACCAGGCTTGCACATGTTACTATATAATTTTTTTTTTAAAGAGAGAGAGAGAACTTTTTAATATTTATTTTTTAGTTTGTTTTCGGCGGACACAACATCTTTGTTTGTATGTGGTGCTGAGGATGGAACCGGGGCCGCACGTATGCTAGGTGAGCGCGCTACCGCTTGAGCCACATCCCCAGCCCACTATATAATTTTTAATTAAAATCTAAACTGGTTAATTTGAACAAAATCCAGACTTACAGAAAAATTCGAAGACTATTAGAATATTTTCATAATGTATATAAAATAAAATTTCAGTATATTATATATTAATATTTTATAGACTAAAAACAGTTAATATAATCAACATAAGCGTTTTTATACATGCATGTAAATGTTTAGACTAAACCATTTAATTAAAAAAAATCAATGACAACATTACCAAATATGTATTATATATATTTTTTTTTAAAAAATATTTATTCATTTTTTTTTTTAGTTATAGTTGGACACAATATCTCCATCTCACTTGTTTATTTTTATGTGGTGCTGAAGATCAAACCTAGGGCCTCACACTTGCTAGGCTAGTGCTCTACCGCTGAGCCACAACCCCAGCCTATATATATATATATTTTTTTTTTTTTTTTTTTTTTTTTTTTTTAGTGACAGGATCCTGCTATGTTGTCCAGGTTTGTCTTCCAACTCCAGGTTCAAGAGATCCTTCTGAGGTGGGTGTGGTGGCACATGCCTGTAATCTAACAACTCAGGAGGCTGAGGCAGGAAGATCACAAGTTTGAGGCCAGCCTCATCAATTTAGTGAGGCCTTAAGCAACTTAGCAAGGCTATGTATCAAAATAAAATCTATAAAAAAGAACAGAATATGCAGCTCAGTGCCCCTGGATTCAATCCCCAGCACCAAAAAGAGAGAGATCTTTTTGCCTCAAACTGCCAAGTAGCTGGAACTAAACACATGTACTACTACATCCAGCCAATGTGTAATTTAAAAATTTTTCCTGAAAAATTCAAGAATAAAGTTGAAAAGCTCATGACCTGTTACCATTAAATTTCTTATCATGTATCTCCAAGTAAGATATCATGATGTAACTAGAGTACAATACTTTTTTTTTTTTTGGTACTGGGGATTGAACTCAGGGGCACTCAACCACTGAGCCACATGCCCAGCCCTTTTTTGTATTTTATTTAGAGATAGGGTCTCACTGAGCTGCTTAGCGCCTTGCTTTTTGCTGAGGCTGGCTTTGAACTCATGGTCCTCCTACCTCAGCCTCCTGAGCCACTGGGATTACAGGCATGTGCCACCATGCCCAGTTTACAGTATAATACATTCAATGAATTTCATACCAATATAATCCTATTATCTAACATATAATCCACACTGAAATTTCTCTGACCATTATAATATTGTCTTTTATTAGCATCTTTCCTCACTTCCATTTTCAAGCCAGGACCATGCAGGGCTTTAGTTTTTATATGCAATCTGGCAGTTTTTCAGCCTTCATTTTGTTGGATAAAAACATTTTTAAAGAATATTTGTATGATACATTTTTTTTTAAGAATACAGATCTCCTTGAATTTGGGGTTATCTGATTATTTCTTCATGATTTGATTCAGGTTATACATTTTTTTTTGGTACCAGGAATTTTACCCAAAGATGCATTACCAATTAGACACATTCCCAGCTCTTTTTATTCTTTTCAGCAGGGTCTTGCTAAGTTGCTTAGGTCCTCACTAAGTTGCTGACGATGGCTTTGAACTTAAGATTCAACTACCTCAGCCTCTGTAGCCACTGGGATTACAGGCATATACCACCATGCCCAGCCAGGTTATGTATTTTTGACAAAAATATTACAAAGTATGCTGAATCTTTCTCAGTTATTTCCACCAGATGAGACATATAATGCAAATTTGAGAGAGGTTTGTATTCTCTTCCTGTTTTTTTTTTTGTAGTACTTGGGATGGAATGCAGGGTCTCAAAAATGCATGCTATAGGCAAGTGTTTTACCACTAAGCTACATTCCCAGCCCTCTGCATTTCTAATAAGATTCCAGATGATGCTGATGCTGCTTGTCTGTGGACTATATTTGGAGTATCAAGGATCTAAACCCATGGTGAAGTTAGGTAGACAAGATTGGGTTTACAGATAAATAGGATTAAATTTCAAATATAAATAAAAATAGTGGTGGGGATGTAGCTAGTGGTAGAGTATTATCTAGAATGTACAAGCCCTGGGTTCCATCTTTAGCAATTACTCCCCACCCACCCCTCCCTTCAAAAAAGGAAAGAAAAATATTATAGTCGTTTACTTCTACTATTTCTAGGACATAACCTTTGGAAAAAAATCTACCAAGTTGAGCGATTCTTGGACCTGCTCTTTCACTCACTGTTGGATTTGGTTTCAGGAAACTCCTGGTTTCACGTAGAGCTAAATTAGAATTGATGTTATAGCCGTAGTCATGGCTTTGGGGAAGGGGGTCATACATACTGCATATGAAACAGTATTTGTAAAGGTATTAGAGGGTCTCAGGAAGAACTAAAGGATTAAATAACCCCTTACCTTCTTTGGATACGGCATAAATGAATGTTCCCTTTATAGTCTGTAAAGTTCCAAATAGTAAATATTTTAGATTTTACAGGACTTTATTGCAACTATTTCAGTCTGCTGTTGTAGTGCAAGAGAAGGCATAGATGTCATGTAAACAAAAGAATGTGGCTAGGTTTTAATAAAACTTTATTTACTCTCTGAATTTCAAATTTCATATAATTTTTTGGGGGGTAGCAGGGATTGAACTCAGGGGCACTCGACCACTGAGCCACATCCCAGCCCTATTTTGTATTTTATTTAGAGACAGGGTCTCACTGAGTTGTTCAGTGCTTGGCTTTTGCTGAGGCTTGTTTTCAACTCGAGATCCACCTGGGATTATAAGCGTGTGTCATTGTGCCTGGCAAGTTCATATAATTTTTTTTTAAGATGGACACAATACCTTTATTTTATTTATTTATTTTTATGTGTTACTGAGGATCGAACCCAGTGCCTCATGTGTGCTTCAAGTGCTTTACCACTGAGCTACAGCCCCAGCCCTTCATATAATTTTTATATATTGCAAAATGCTATTTTCTTTCCAACCTTTTAAAAATACAAAAATTATTCTTAGTACACATAGTATATATTTTTTCTTTTTGACTCTTGACAATGAATCAATCACTCTAAAAAGATCTCCATCTCCACTCTAAAAAGATCTCTTTGAATCTTATTTCCTGAAGGGTCTCTCTTTAACCTGGCTTTGAAGGTGAATTCCAACACAAATTTGTGTCCTCACTCAAACTCTTTCCCTTTGAATCACCAGGCCTCATCTCCCACACAAAGGAGTTCTTTATAACCAAGTACTGTAATTTACAATTCATTCCAGTTTTGAATAATAAAATAGTTGGAAAATACTAAAACAAATTCATCAATAGTATATTTATTAAAGGAATTATGAAATTTATAATTTTATCAATGGAATTCTATGTTATCATTGAAAATGATGAGGTTACCATTAAGTAGAAAAAGCGTAATTATAGTATTTACACTATGATCACATTTTACCATTCACTAAAGTTGTGGTTTGTCAAAAAATGTTATTTTTCCTGAATTAGTCCTTATGCAAAAAAAAAAAAAGATCTCCCCACAGCTCCAGAAGAGCTTTAAAAAAACTTTCCAAACTTTCTGCCCATCCTAGTAAATCTTTATACCACATTTGACAGCAGTCTAAATATACTTGAAGATTTGCTAAAAGATTAGAGATGGATTAAATTCTCAGGTACCAAAAGAGTTCTGAAATTAGACATCATTTTGAAAACCCACCTAAAGTATTCTTTGGATAGGATTAACATCTAAATCAGTAGACTCTGATAAAGGAGATTACCTCCATGATGTGAGTAGCTCTCTATTAGCTGAAGGTCTTTAAGAGAAAAAAAAAAAATTGATATCTCCAGAGGAAAGGGAATTCTGCCTTCAGAGCTACAACTTCTAACCTTCCTTGGGTCTTTAGGTTAACAACCTACCTTGCAGATTTTGGATTCGTAAGTCCCCATAGTCTTCTGAGCCAACTGCTTAAAATAAATCTTTGTGTCTGTTATGTATGTACACACAAACACGTGCGTGCACGCACACACACACACACACACCCTATTAGGTGTTTTTCTCTGGAGAACTCTAATACAACTGGTAACCTGGCCAAAATCATAAAGCTCTTGAGTGCCAGAATTCATATATGGATGGCTGAGTCCATGAAGAAAAAATGTAAAGCTATTTACTCACCAAATAGACATTGCTTGCTGACTGCAGTGAATAATACAAGTGGACAATGAAAGGACTTTTGCTTAGTGCCAGTGCATCTCTCTCAGCTTGTACCTGATGAGTCATATTTTTATTGATCATATCTGCTTTTTTGACAACCTGTAATAGACCACATGACAATAAAAACATTTTATTTTTTATTACAAAGTGTCCTCAAGTTCCAACATTGCCATCATAAAAATGAGACAAAAAAACAGATATCATTCAGACCTCACACTGCCACCAGGAATTGGTGCCAGAAAAGTAGTAAGATGGTCAAACAAACAGCATCAAACCATTATCTTCAACATAGAACTGCTCATCTTGGTATTAAATGGCAAAATTATCACATCCATTTTGAGAAGGAAAAAGAATTAAATAAATGTTCCCTGACTGATCTGCATGTTTACAGAAAAGATTCTGTTCTGTTATTATAAAAAAGTCAAAAGATAGTAATGTTCCTAATTATTCCCCAGATAACCAGGAACTTGGATACAGTATAATAGCACTATACATATATACACATCTCTGTGTGTGTGTGTGTGTGTGTCTTTATTTGTTTATTTATTTTAAACTTCTGATTCTCTGGCAGATAGGAACTGAATCAAAATGTTGGAAGTTTGTTTGTTTGCCTCACTTGAGCAAACTTGAGCAATTTGAGACTGAAAGTATCAAATGCCGTCTTACAGAAAACAACTAATTATATTTTTGAGTTTCAGGGTAATTGTCACAGAAACAAAAGTGTGATCTACATTAAAGTTGGAGCTCTAAACTGAACAGTAAGACACACTGGGATCAATTCTCAATACTATTACCAGGAAAAATGCATTTACCTCGTATTTAATACATCCATTAATACATGATAAATTCTAGCCTTACTGCCTTTCCTTAAGAAAACTAAAGGAAATTGATAAAGGAAGTTTATAACATGATTTCACCTATCATTCTACTGGGTTGGGAACTCTGTGAGGACATGTTTGCTTTGTTCATTACTGTATCCCATATCCCCAAATATTTATTTAACAAATTAATTGCTGCTTCCATTTGAACAATTGATAATGATTGATTACTATGTACTGTAGAAGGAAAAGCAAAAATCTTGGGAACATATAAAGCAAGTAACAATAAATTTCAACATGATGAGTCTGAAAGATCAAAGATTTGAAGGAGAGCAAAAATGAACCTTAACACAAGAATAAGATAGGTGAAGAGTCAGAAGGGTGGAAGAAAAGCACTTAAAGAGGAACAAACATAAACATAAGCTCCAAGGCAAGAAAATACACAGGTTAGGGGGGATATTCCAATTGGTGTTGCTAGAACTTGGGAATGGAAGGAGGGGTTAGTAAAAAGAATGAAAGGCAGAATTGTGAGTACTAATTAGGAGTTATGATACACAAATGAAGTGGAAGAAAGTTAAATTGACTCAGGTTTCTAGTCCAAAGGAAAGGGGAAATGGAAGTGTTATTAAATGAAGAAGGGAATACAGGAAGTTCAGAGTTTAGACAGTAGGTGGAGGGGATTGTTTAAGATTTGGCAAGTATAATTTGTAGATGAGTGATAGATATTCACTTGGCATTATCTATCAGGAAATTCAAATTTCATCCAGTCTGTTGGATTTTCCGTTCCTTTACCTCCTTCACTCAGTGCTGAAATGTGAATAAACTGAATCCTTGGGAGTGGATGAGAACCAAGAGTGGACAGAATAACTTCAAATACATGTTGAGGGTTTTAAGAATGATATATACTGTTTTAAGAATAAAAGAATCGACTTAGCACACGTTTCAGCTTGCTCTTTAGATGGAAATATATCCTAGACATCCCAATGGAAAGTATGAACAAAAAAAAAATAAGATTTGTTTAATGAGACCTTTTGGTTGTATAAACGGGTCAAAAATCTATATCAAAAAATATAAAATGAAAGCAACTATTACAAACAATAAAAATTCCAACCTTCATCCTGGTAAAGGCCACATTAGTAAAAAGGATCCAGAAGATACATAAAATGAATAGGTAATACTAATTTTAACAATTTCGTAACAGATTTGAAAACAATGCAGCTTCTTTCTGGTTAGGATCAAATTCTAAATCAGTGGCTACAATTTAATTAAACTGGGACAGAAAAATTTCAGCGTTTCTGTATGTCAAAGCAAACATCAGCAGCTACTTAAAACTTTTTGGATTTAGAAACATGAGTCAAATTCGGATTAGGCATGAATCATGGCTGTAGCTTTAAGTCCGTCTTGTACTAAAGGTCCACTGACCACCTCAATCAAGTCCCTTTTCCTCTGGCCTCAGTGTTCTTATTTGTTGACACTGTCTAGGGCAAAGGGAGTCAAGTTTTGCACTGGGCAACATCTACTAAGATGTGGAGACAAGGGCGGGGAAGGTAGGGCAAAGGCCACCCGCCTGACCAGATCCAAACAGAAGTCAGTTCGCAAGGTTCTGCAGGCTTCAGCAAGCCGGTCCAGACTAATTACTGCAGCAGCCCCGGAGCCTGCCCAAGTCAGAAGGCAGAACAGAGGGCCGCTCGGCTGCACGCCTTCCCTTTCTTTACTCCTCGACTTCCTTACCTTCACTGCATACAACTTGCCGTCTCTCTGTCCCAGGTACACTTTCCCGAAGGCGCCGCGGCTAATGGGCTTCACTATGGTGAAATCCTCAATGGAGGGCGGTCTTGGCACCGGGATCTTATTCACGCATTCTCCTGTCACCGCGCCTCCTTCGTTCTCTTCGCTCCGGGCAGTGGACTCCATCGCTGGACAGCTCAAATAGAGGAGAACAGCCGGCCAGGCGCCACGGCCTTTCCCAGCCGCAACTCCCGCCAACTGGGTTCAAAGTGAGGCTCCGCCCACACCGCACGCTGGCCGTGACGTCACCGCGCCACCGCGCCGAGTCCAAAGCAGCCCCGCTCTGTCACCTCCCTTAACTAAGTACAGTTTCCCAGTAGGCGTGAGGTCTGGGCACTGGGAACACTTGAGTTCCGCACAGAAATTTCGAAGGCGGTGACTCACGGCCCGCTGACACATCTTGTTAGGAGGGAGGAGGTTCAAATAGTTCTGGCCAACAGGAAGAGGGACAACTGGGACTTGAATCTGAATTGCGGGATTTGAAAAGATGTCTCCCCGCCTCCCAACGAGTCTGCTACGAACCTGCCCAGGTCTAGTCCAGACCTGCAATTTACCCCTCCCTTCCCGACCTGTTTGGTCTGTTTAAGAAAGCAGTGGCCCGAGATGACGTTCGGAAGCCAGGGAAGCCACCGAACGTGTGAAACCGGATGTGCAGGAAGCGGGTAGCTGACACTGTTACCTGACTTATTAACAAAATGTAATCTTCCTTACGGAAAGAGGCTAAGACCAACAGGAAGAAGTTTAGATTTACTGCAGCCAAAAAACCTCGCAAACCTTCTTAGCAACCTTCAGAACAATACGTTGGATAAGGAAGCTACAGGAAGCCTGAGAAAGGTTCAACAGGGTGCATGCTGTTCCCCCTTATAAAAGTGGGGTGAACCCACGCTACAAACAGCTTAAGGGATTCCGTTCCTTGCCAACATCCAGCAGCTCAGTGCCCGCGGACGTGGTAGCACCTCACGTCTCTGAAAAGGCGGGGCACCGATTTGCCCCGGAAGTACTGTTGCGTTAACGCCTTGCCTTCCGGGGCAGATTGCTGTTGTAGCAGCTGAAGGAAGGGGAGGCCATTTTCCGTTTCTGAGAAGCCTAAGGAGCAAAGGAAGGGAGAGACAGAGGGGGGAAAAAGGGGGGCTCAGCGCCTCCCTGCCGCGCCAAGAACGGAGGACAGTTTCGGCAGGCGGGGGAGGTCGCTGAGGGCCCGGAGATGTTTTCCCTGACGAGCACGGTGCAGCCCCAGGTGAGCCCTACTTTCAGCGTGTTTTTCTGCGGCCCTGCCCGCGGATGTTTTCCAGTTGCCTTCGTGGAATCGGTTTCTGGGAAGCGAACCAAGGGAGGAAAACGATTAGCCCACGCAGAGTCCCGAGGTTGAAAGTGGATCAGGGGATAACGAAGAGAGTAGGACCGGAGACTTGAAGGGCTGACAGCGAAGCATTTGGGTTTGGGGGGGAGAGGCGCGGTATAAGCGTGATGGAGATCGGGGCTTATCGGATTGATTGCGTGGAATTTTCTGGTAGAGAACCCGTCAGGCATTGTCAGGGCCGGACATTCTGGGCTGGGGCCTGGGGAAATGTCTCCTCCTGGATGTAAAAGTAATGTTCTTTCCATCCTTTCCGAGCTCTCTCTTTTTTTCTACTTGCAAGTGAATTTAACCCAAACATTCTATAACAATTTCAATAACTATCATTTTTTTTTCTTTTTGGTCAGAAAGAACTAATAAGTATTCTTTCTTTTCTTTGAGTACTGGGCTTGAACTCAGAGACATTTGACCAAAGAGCTACTTCCCAAGCCTTTTTTATTTGATTCAGGGTTTCGCGAATTTGTCGAGGCTGGCCTCGAATTTGGTTCCTCCTCTGCTTCACCCTCCCGAGTTGCCGGGATTACAGAGGTGATTCATCATGTCCAGTTTATGTATTTTGGTGTAGTTAATTTGCCGTTAAAGTTTTGATTTCAGCCTCATCCTCATATTTTTGTGAAACAAAAGTTAAGCCAGAGGGGGGAGAAAAATTCTAAAGGGTTTTGATCCTCTTTGAAAGATAATCAGTTGTGACAATGTTTGCCCTTTATTCACTTCAAAAAAAATTTTTTTTCTTTTGATGGCAACTTTTTCTCATTAAAGAATACTTTATTAGTTTCTGTAATCACACTCGCTTAGTTGAGACCATACATTTAATAACAGTGTCTTACCCCTTTACAGAGAAAAGAAATAAGCTTAACATTTCTAGACCAACATGACTGTTAATTTCTGAACAATGCCAATTCAACAGGTGAACTGGGATACTTTTTCCAAAGTTGTCAAAAATTCAAATTACGTTTAGAGATGTGTATGTTTATATAAAAAGACCAAGGATAGTAGTATGTTTTGAGTTATATAAAAAGACCAATAATAGCACCAACAGTTTTTCCATTGTATGCAATCATTAAATAAAATTGTACTCTCAGTACACTTCATTAATGCTAATATTTTGATAGATTTCTTTTATTTGTTTATTTATTTGTAGTTATAGATGGACAGAATGCCTTTGTTTATTTTTATGTGGTGCTGAGGATCAAACCCAGTGCCTCACAGATGCTAGGAAAGTGCTCTGCCACTGAACTACAGCCTCAGCCCCACATTTTGATAGATTTACTTTTTCCTTTTCTTTTTTTTTCTTTTTTGAGAGTGCTCAGAGCTTTGCAGACAAATATTTTTTTTGAGAACATTCAGATTTAAATTTTTTTGGTACCCTTACTTTCTTGTTCCTTTGTTTAACTCCTTCCCCCCTTTTTTGTGTGAGTACAGTACTGGCTGAATAATAGAAAATGAAGTGGTTGGTTAGTTATTGGGCAGCAAAAGAACAAAGCAAATGTGGAATTTTATCTTACTAGTGATATGAAGTAAAGATGATTAGGGGGTTAGCCAGGTGAATAGTGGACAAGATATTTCGAGGTTGAAGGAACAAAAATAAGACTAGGTGGCTAGAGCATTAAAGATTAAGGGAAGGATTGCCAGAGATTAGATTGGAGAGAAGCCTTAAGGCAGTTTAGGGAGTTTGGATTTCATTTTAAGGGAAAACAGTTGAAGGGAACAATTGAAGGTTTTAAAACAATCATGTACACACACACATATGTATATGTATATGTGTGTGTGTGTGTATACACACTTTTTTTTTTTTTTTGGTACCGGGAATTGAACTCTGGGGCACTCAACCTCTAAGCCACATCCCCAGCCCTGTTTTGTATTTTATTTAGACACAGGGTCTCACTGAGTTGCTTAGGGCCTGAGTTGCTGAGGCTAGATTTGAACTTGCCAACCTCCTGTCTTAGCCTCTGAGCTGCTGGGATTACAGGTGTGCATCATGGTGCCTGGCCTAGATTTTCATTTTTTAATGTATCACTTTGCTGTCTTGCTTATGGAGAATATGAAGTGGCAGGAGTGGAATTATATTGCACCACTTTGGGATAGGGGTGTTGCTCCACTAAAGTTGTGGCAGTGGTTGTAAAAGTAGAGAATGAATTTATGTTGAACAAAGAGTAGAATTTCATGAGAGGTGGTGGAGAGAGATGTTTCTGGTTTGATCAACTGAATACAGGAAGGTCCTATTTGCCAAGATGATAATTTAGGGAGGAGTCCTAACAATTGTTTTTAAAACAGGTCAGACGAGGCCTACAATGCTAAACTTTTTGAAACTAAACTCTTAGTTCACATCAAGAACTCCTGGTTTTGAGGGAATTTATGATTGGCTGGATGGAGAATCGGTGCTATGTGAAGTAGGTAGAGCTGATGAAAGGATTTTGTATGGTGTTGGCTTAACTGGGCTCAAATATAGGACCCTGAAGTATTTATGCTATGTAGGATTATAAACATATTTGGAATTCCTAGTTGCTTAGTTGGTTGAATACACTTGAATTTAAATGTTAGAAATAGGGAAGATATAGCTGAGCTCAATCTTTCGTTTTTTTTCCATGCTGAGGATTGAACCCAAGGCTCCCACATGCTAGGCAAGTGCTCTATCACTGGTCTACACTGTATCCCTAAAGTAAGCCTTTTCAAAGAAATAGGCAGATAATATATGTTTTTGTATTTGATTCCTATAGTTAAAAAGAAACTTACTGTTTCTGACTTCAAAAAATAATATTCTTCCAAAAATGCTGAAAGAAAATAAAGATTATCCATAATTTCAAGATACACATTTTAGAATAAATTCCACCCCTTCTCCCCCCCTCTTTATTAATAAGGGAATGCATACTTCAAAAATATTGCTTTACAGTTTGTTTTATTCATGCAGTATCATAACATAAATTTATTTCTGTATCAATAGCTCTGAAATAAGAAGCCTTTTAACTGGAATTTTGAATCAGATACTTTGGTAGACTCTTATACTAATTGTTTGACCTTGGATATGACACTGATCTATCTAAATCCTTGTTGTCTTCATCTATTAAATAGGAGGTATCTTAATCTGTTGCTAAAACTGAATACCTTGAACTAGGTAATTTATATAAAGAATAGAAATTTATTGGTTCATACTTCTAGAGACTGGGACATCCATTTTCAAGGTGCCAGAATCTGGCAACATGGTAGAAGATACCACACGATGAAAGGCATCATGTAAAAGAGAGAAAGAGGAGATAACCCACTACTATGAAAACCTAACACCTTTTGAAGATTCCACCTCTTACTAGTTAAAATGACAATGTGAATTCAGTGTGAATTTTAGAGGGGACAAATATTCAAACCTTAACAAGAAGTTTTATGACTCTTAGGAGGATTAAACTAGATAACTAGAAGACCTGGTATATACTAAGAACCCATTTTGTTTATTCATTTACCCAACAAACATTTATTTAACGCTGTGTGCATTGATGTTACATAGGTATACAGTATTGAATAAAATAGAAAAATGGAATAGGGAAAAGAATCTTGCCATGTGAAATTTACTTTGGTTATAGAATATGGTATAATGAAAAATACTTTTGTAGTTTTTGTCGTCTTCCTGATACATAGCTTCTAAAATTGTTGGGATTTTATGAGTTATTAAAATTCAGGGAAACTTGTTTATCACATCTGCGTTTTTGCTAATAAAATGACTTTAATCTGTAAATAGCCTGAGGATGGGACTAGTCATGGAAAGGCCAAGTGGTTTGAGAGTGTACTTGAATTTCCTCATCTCTGGAGAAGAAGGGTGAGGCTGGAAACTGAGCTCCATT